ATCACGGGAGTGAATAGTCACTTATTTTAGGTCAGAGATTACGGGAGTAACTCTTTCCCTTGTTGCATTCTCACACTTGTTTAAACCCAGATTTAATATTGCACATTAGATTGCACTAGGTGATTAAATGCTTGAATCCCAGGAATCTCATCATCTTCCTATTGTTTTCACAAACCTGCATACTTTTTTTTCCTTTAATTGTTTTAATCAACCATCCATGTCTTTCGTTAGGATTAGCTTCATAAGAATAAATTAGTAGCTAGTGCTTAATACGCACCACTTCCCTGTGGATCGATAACTCGATACTCCGGGTAATTATTTGTTTGAGAAATATACCGTAACCAAATCGACGCCGTTGCCTGGGAAGTGACGTTTAAGTATTGATATTAGTGAAAATTTTATTCTAGGAGTCTAATCCATTTTTTTTTGTTTTTATTTTATTTTAGCTAATCTATAACAAGTTTTTTTTGTTGAGTTGTGCTCTCTTGATCTAAGAACTTGGTGTTGTATGCGTACACGATCTTTGGGGAAGGAATGATTATTACCTTTGAACCTAGAGATTTAAATGATAGCCAAGTTTCTTAGAAAACAAGGAAGGATGGCCCAGGTACCAAATCAAGTCAATGTGAACCTCAATGGAGAAGGAGAGGAAGTTAAACAACCTCCTGCCGCAGCAAGATCCATGTCTGACTACATTGCTCTTGATGTTGAGGAGCATGATAGCATTAATATTCCAGGTGTGGAGGTCAACAACTTTGAAATCAAGCTGACCATCTTACACATGATCACTTCTGATCAGTTTGGAGGGTCACCCACGGAGGATCCCAATTCTCATATCACAAAGTTCCTCCGTATATGTGGCACTTTCAAAATCAATGGTGTCCCTCAAGAAGCCATCAAGCTTACACTTTTTCCCCTCTCACTAAGTGATAAGGCTCATGGTTGGCTCATCTCACTTCCAACCAACCACTTTGATACTTGGAGCAATTGGATAGGGAATTTTTGAATAAGTTCTACCCAATCTCAAAGACTCAAAGGATTAGGACGGCGATCCAAAGTTTCAAGCAATTGGCAAGTGAATCTCTAACGGAGTCTTGGGAGAAATTCAATGAACTAAGAAGGAAGTGCCCGCACCATGGCTTCCAAAATTGGGATTTAATTATGGTATTCTGTGAAGGTTTGCTTGAAAAATCATGGATTTTAGTTGATGCTTCTTCGGGTGATTCATTCACAGTTTTGGAACCAAACCAAGCTGAAGAACTTTTGTAGAAGATTGCTATGAATGGATCAACATGGTACTCAGAGAGATCTTCTTAAAAACTTGTAGGGGGAATGCATGAAGTGGAGCAAATTTCCGCTTTGTTAGCTAAGGTGAATAATGTGGTTTCACTGGTTCAAAAGCTAGCTCAATTCACCCTAAAAAATCAAGTTGTGAGTTATGTTTCTACTCCTCCTATCTTTCTAATCAAGTTTTGATGTGTGATCTTTGTGGTGGTGGACATAATTTGGGAGAATGTCTCAATGATTCAAGTTCTCAATCTCCCATGGAGCATATTAATTTGGTTGGATATAATAGGCCACCACAACAATCTTTTCAACCTCAAGGGGCCTATTGTAACACCCACTTTTCTAACTCTTAATTATCTCTCTAAACAGACATTAACATAATCTAAGCAGCGGAAAACTAGATAATAAGTAGTGAGGGTGTCACCGCCACAACCACCACTCTTGGTGATTGCACAGGCTAAAGGGGTAAAACTATAACATACAATTAAGTCTGGGTATTAAAATAAATACTGAAAAATAAGGGGGAAAGACGTCACCCAAAAACAGTCTACATCATCAAACGTCATCATAAGTGTAAGGTCACAGTTTAATTCCAAAAGACATCATAAATAGAACTAGAGTTTAGATAGCTCAGATTAAATGACTAATCTAACTCGATCTCTTCTCACTGCTGGGCCCACCTGAAAGGGGTTTTGCAAGCAACACATAGACAAATAGGAAAACACTCGTTAGCACGAAGCTAAGTATCACCACACTCAACCCTGTAAAGCATTCTAGCATATATTTTGAAAACATTTGATATCTTTATAGCAATAAGCTAACCTCAAAACATCTTTAGTTCATCATATTCTTTCTAAATGCTTGCACCCTATAATATCAGTTGGCATGCTTACATATGAATAAGACTAATCACGTATATTTATATACATATAGACTTTTCAAATAGTTTATCAAGCAATTCATGCTTACAGATAGGATCATGTTTAAAGATCATATAACAAGTGTTCACATGCTATCACACTCTTATCACATAACTTATTAAGTAGAACTTTTACTACATCACAATAATCATGCTCAAGGAACATCTCAAGTTAAACTTCTCATTAAACAATCTTTTACGATGTTCTATTCGCAAGGTCATGTATAACATTATGAACATGCTTCTCATGCAATCTAGTGCCACATTATAATCATACTCTTATGCAATCTAGTGCAACATTATACTCATATTCATATGCAATCTCGTGCATTAATATAATCATACTCTTATGCAATCTAGTGCAACAATACACTCATACTCTTATGCAATCTCATGCAACAATATAATCATACTCTTATGCAATCTAGTGTAATGATACACTCATACTCTTATGCAATCTAGTGCACCAATATACTCATATTCATATGCAATCTAGTGTAATCATACACTCATACTCTTATGCAATCTAGTGCAATAATATACTCATATTCATATGCAATCTAGTGTAATAATACAATCATACACTCATATATAAAATAGAGTACTTTATTTGGAGGTTTCTTTGTTACTTCCTCGAGTCTTTCTTGACTCTCTTTCTTTCTATCGAGTCTGTATCGACTCTCATAATCGAGTCTCTGTTGACTCTCTTTCTTGAGTCTCTGTTGACTCTCTTTCTTGAGTTTCTGTTGACTCTCTTTCTTTCTCTTATACTCGTACACGGTTTAGGGTTTCACAGAAGTGTGACTTACCCCATCGGGAACGGCATAATTCCGACCCAATATCTCCTACCGTCTACGGAACCAATCTCGTGGTTCAAACTCTTTGGAATCAAGTATCGAACTATTAGTGTGCACACCCCCTAACCATGATTCCAAGCCTGGCGGGAAGTTTCTAACCTCGTAACGTGGGAATACGCCGCGTTACATACTCTGGGACCGCAATGTCCATAAATATCTCCTGAGAAGAACATAGTCCAAACGGTATCCTCCAAAACCTCACCGATATAGATAATACATAAATATATCTCTCATGCATCAATCTCATACATGCAACAATTCTACTACTTCCCAATGCATCAAATAATGGTGTACCACATGCTTATGGTTTTTGAAAGTATTCTTGTGCTCACGTTGGCCCTTTATGCATTTTTGAAATATGACTCATGTGAAATGTCAAATGCTCTATAACATGCTTCTAAATCATGTATAAACTAACATGAAGTATTCAAAGATACATCATCATGCTCGGTTTGTTAAAATAGCAATTTGTATACATCTCTTTCAACAAGTATGCTTCTATTCTCATGGATCAAAGAATACAATTTAATCATGCTTCCTTACTTAATAAGAACATTGTTTGATCACAAATTCAACAATTTCTCAAATACAGAGAGTTAGGCGAAATATGCACTATGTCACATTTCTTCACAAAATCATTCATAGCATACTCGATTTTAATCCAAATTCAACGAAGTCAAAGCCAAAACGTGCGTCAAGACGGTCCCGAAGAGCCGAGCCACAAGGGCTCGTAATACTCGGTCCGAAACGACACGTAGCTAAGCCTCAAGGGCCCGGCCACTGCACAAAATCTAATCAGAACATCACTCAGGGACTTAGGGCAGGACTCATCATGGTCCGCCCCTATAGACCCGCTACTACGCCGGGACTAGGCGACGACCCTCTTCTAGGGCCGTGCCCTAGTCCCGTGGTGGCACGGCTCTAGCCGGAGGCCCTTCTAATGGGCCGCGGCTAGGGCCGCCACTCTGGTCTGGTGCACACTATGTTGTGCACCAGATAGCTTTTCACCTGCAAAATCTTGTCCAAACATGTCCAAAACAATCTCAACAACTCATAAACACATATCAAAGCATTTCTAAGCATAAACACATCAAAAACTCATAGTTTCTACTCATTTATACTCAAATCTAGGCTTCACATAGCCAAATCTAAAGAGGAATCCATGGGGTTATACCTCTTGTAGACCTCTCCTTCTAGCTTGGATCTCTTCTTCCTCTTGGTCAAGCTTGAGCCTCCTTCACCACTTTCACTTCCCAACACACCTTCTATCCTTAGCCTAAAACCTTAAAGACTAAAGAAACTAGAAGAAAAATGAAGCTAGAAAGGAGGATGAACAATGCTTACTAAGTTGGAGCTTTTCTCCTTGGATGTTGGCAGACAAAAGTGAGGAAGAGGCAATGAAAATGTGATGGAATGAAGGGTTTATATAGGGTCCAAAACCATATGATGATATACAATGATTGGTTGAGGGCAAAGGGGTAATTTCCCCAAGCTAAAATATGACTTTATAAGGGATTTTTGGATGTCTTGTGGTCCACCATGTATCATGAACCATAGGCTAAAAATGATATTTCTTTATTACTTTGGGTTGGAAAGTGAATTTTTCCAAAAACCATATGGATGAACACTTGTTCAAAATTCCCTTTTTAATTCTCCCGGTCTCACTCGGATAAAATTCTCGATTTAAATCTTGGTACGCGAAGTACCCGATAACTTGGAATTTTCAAAAGAAATACTCTTCTTCGGTGTCGAATTTATTTCAAAATGTGACGAAAATTATTTTATTCACACACAGATTGATCGCAAAAATTTTTAATGGAGTCAAAAAGCTATATTGAATTTTCTTAATACCGGATTTATAAATTGAAATTTTGGGTTGTTACACCTATAATCCAAATTCATCAAGGAACCAGCCAGGTTTTTCATGGAGTAATCTAATGGGGGCTGTAAATCCCCAACATTTTGTTAATAGAGGTGCACCAGATTTCCAAGGGCAACATTCCAAGGTATGCAATCTCAACCCAGACCTCCACTACCCACTCTGGAGGCCCCACCACAAACAAACTTGGGGGCTATGATGAGCATATTGCTCAAGTCCCAGGTGCAAAGCGAAGAAAGGATCAAGCAAGTGATTGAGAGGTTGGATCAATTGAGTGCCCACAATAAGATGCTAGAGAATCAACTTGCCAATCAAGCCTCTACATCTTGCACCAAAGTCATTGGAAAGTTGCCCGCTTGCCCCAAAAATCCTAGAGAACGTGTCAATGCAATTGTTACAAAGAGTAGCAAGATACTTGGAGAACCATCTCTTCCAATCAAAACATCAACTCCAAATAAAATTGTTGATGTGGAGATTGAGGAGAAACTTGAGGGGGAAGAAATTGAACCAGCTGTTGTGAAGAATAATCCACAAGTTCATGATGAGGCAGAGAAGCCCGTGAGAAGGTATGAACCACCATTGTCCTTTCCTTAAAAATTTCAAAGGCAAGTAAAAGATAGTAGGTGGAAAAAGTTTTTGGTGGTAGTTGAGAGTTTGAAAGTTTCAATTTCTTTACTTGATTATTTGCTTTCACAAGTTCCATCCTACGGAAAAATTTTGAGAGATATTCTTGCTAAGAAAAGAAAATTTGGGGATAATGAGATGGTGGCTATGGCACAAGAGTATAGGGCCTTGGCACGTAGTGAAAGTATGAGCATTTTGAAGCATAGAGATCCGGGAAGTTTCACAATCTCATGTTTTATTGGAGGCCATATGATCAAAAGATCCCTTTGTGATCTTGGAGCTAGTGTTAATGTTATGCCTCTATCACTTTGCAAAAGGTTGAATTTGGGAGAACCTAAACTGGCCCAACTTACATTGACATTTGCTGATCAGTCTACTATTAGCCCTATTGGAATTCTTGAAGATGTCCCAGTCCGTGTGGACAAGTATTTTGTGCCTTGTGACTTCATTGTGATAGATGCCCCAGAGAATCCTGATGTTCCAATCATTTTGGAGAGACCTTTGATTTCTTGGCCAAAACTGGAGCAATAATTGATGCAAGGAAGGGGTCCATGATTTTTAACTTTGGAGAGGAAAAAGTGAAATTTACTATTATTAATGAGCCAAATTCCACTGGTGTTTCAAATTGTTCTATGATTCATAACAAGTTCTTTGGAATGACATTTGAGGAGCAAGTAAAGTGGAACAACTTCTTTGGTGAAGCGGTCAACCTTGCAGATCCACTGGAATGAGCACTCCATAATGAGGTTACGTCGAGCTAGCGACGTTAGACTTAGCGCTTCATGGGAGACACCCCATGTTATCTTTTATATTGCTTTTTATTTCTTTCTATTATTTTCGTCTAGTTAGTCTTTTATTTAGCATATTTTAGTTCGTGTTATTTTATTGCTTTTTACCTTTCTCTTTTCTCTTGTTCTCCTTTTCTCTTGTTCTCCTTTTCTCTTGTTTTGCATAAGGGATGATGCAAATTTTGAAGTGTGGGGGAGGAGCCAAAAATTTGGAGTAACTTTCAAAATTTTTGCTTGGATGACTCAGGTTCTTTTGGTTAATAAGTTACTTGTCATAGCATGGAGTTACAATTTCTATCTCTTGTGGGTTTGTAGTTTGTTTTGGTGGTACTTGTTGCAATTCAATTTGTGATTGATAATTTGAGGTGTAACACATAATTGATCTATTCTCTTGTCAATAGCTTTGTTAACAACTCATTAATTGGATTAATTCTTGATTTTGTGTGTTATGCATTACAAGTGAAGGCTTATGTGAGATTCCGGTCATGGGTGTTTTGCTAGAACTTGCGTCATTACTCCCTAAGTGAAGTCTAAGTTTTGCATATTTTGAAGTGATTTAGGCCATTTTTGTTTAGCCCATAGCCTTTAAGCCTACCCTTATATATGTTATTACCTCTTGTGTCCCCTTTGAGCTTGCTGTTTGTTTAAATAAGTGCTAGCACTTATCCCCTATTTTGATTGTTTTTCTTTGTGTTAACCCGCATCAAAACCATTAGCCTTTAGCCAAATGTTTTCTCTTCCACCCTTGAGAGAATGAAGTTTTTTTCTTTAAAATTCTTGTAGAAGAAATTCTTTTGGAGCTGGTATCTAAAAAGCAATATCTGATGAATATCTAAGTGTGGAGGTCTTGATCATACAAGCACTGGGGGGCCCTGCTGTATGAGGCCTGTACGGCTGTGCTTAGCTCATACAGGCACCCAAAATAGTAAAATAATTTTAAAGTGTCTAAGAATAATAACCGAAATAAAATACAACACTTATTTTACTAAGTGTTGTATCCTTAAATCAATCTATTTTAAATTATCACATCATATTATTAAATCCAAATTACATTGGAGTTATTTTATTAAATTTTCCTCAAGACTATTTCTAGTTTCCAAACCCTTGCTTTCTAATTTTATTTCATTCTTTTGGCTAATATCATCCGATCCTAAACCCATTCTTTGATTATTATATTCAGCATTTGAGCCTTATAGTTTCCTAATCCTAATATGCATATGGTACACACAATTACACCATTTCCTAATCATATATATATGTACGTATGTATGTTCTGTAATCTTTATATATATATATATATATATATATATATATATATATAGAGAGAGAGAGAGAGAGAGAGAGAGTCGAGTTCAGGTGCGGTCGTGTTTTCTCGTACAATCAGTGCGGCCGCACCAATAGTTATACAAATATGCACCAAAAATATTAGCAAATGCACAACAAAAAAAATATGCACAAATTAGGTAAATATGTATCACAAAAAATGCACCATTAAGTATGAATAAAAGTACCACACAGTGTTCGAAAATGCACATTTAGGGTGTGGGAGTTATGGTGCATTTTTTTTGGGTGTGTTGTGTGTTTTTTGGTGTATTTGTGCATTTTATTGTTGTGCATTTTCCTAACACTATTGATGCCTTTTATTAACACTATTGGTGTATTTTGTCAAGCGGTCGCACGACTGCACGAAAAGGCGCAACCGTATTTAATTTGAACTTTTGTCTACATATATATGGTTCGAATCTGGTGCAACCGCTATGCTAGATGAGATCATGGGATATCATGATATCCATTGATTCATTTTCCATGAATGGTTGAGATTATAAGAGATTGTGAAAGTAATTAAGGATATATTAAAATCAAAAGGTTTAAATAGTAATTGTAGATATATGTTTAATTATGGATATAATTCAATTGGAATTTTAAGCATTATATTAGGGGTATTATGAATGGAAATTGATATTTTAAATTATTAGGGACCCTATCAATGGTAATAATTAATTATATTTTGTACATCTGAACCGCACACGCCATTCCACACCCGCGCACACACCACCGTAAAATTTTCCACAATTTTAAAAAAAAAAAATCACAACAAGCTCAATACTATATCTACTACACACTGATTATCTACTCGAAATTCAAACACCGATACCCAAATTAGATTCGTATATTTTTGTTTTCTTTTGGATACGTTTCACACACACCCGAAACTAGTAACACACAAACCAAAATGTACATGCCTGTATCACGAAAGGCACATACCAAAACGCATAATTTTTTGAAAAAAAAAACCAACACGCCATGGTGTATAAGCCCTGTTACAGTAAAACGCACACACCATTCCATACCTATGCACACAGCAACGTAAAATTCCCCATAAATTAATATTACAAATGTACAAAATATAATTAAATATTACTATTGATAGGTTCCCTAATATTCTAGTAAGATTCTATTTTAAATATAACCAAAATTAAAACCAAAATACAACTACTTTTTCATCCTTGCCTTTCAAATCTATCCTTATTTAATTATTGTTTGACTTTCAATCATATCCATCAATTGAAACTTTATCAATGGATAAGATGGGATCTCATGATCTCACCTGATTGGGGTGGTCTCACTAGATTCAAAATCTATATATATATATATATATATATATACTAAGACTATGTGGTCTAATGGTATCCGGGTTGGACTTCCATTTGAAAGGTTGTGAGTTCGAGCCTCATTGGAGGCGTTATTGGTTCTTTGTCTACTGTTTCAGTAGGTAGAGCTGATTCAAAAATCAATGAATTTTTTATTTTTTTTTAAAAAAAGGCGTTATAAATCTGCTACTGGGGCTCACTTTAGATTTAAAGAAGACAAACACCACCAAAGCTAGCCACTCATAAACAATAAAATATACATTTTTACTTCCTAGCCACTCATAAACAATAAAATATACATTTTTACTTCCTTTGATCTCTATTCTAATTACTGAAATATGATTGGAAAAAGATAGTGGTGGTGTAGGTTTTGGGATTGGAAAAAAAAATAAATAATAAAAAAAGGTGCGTCCTCAATTAAAGAAGTAAAACGTAAAAAAATTTCCACCTTAATAAGGAAAACCACACACCTAAAGCTTTAGACCGACGCAACTTAAGAAGGAAAATAACGAACTTTAAGAAGGTAAACCACGCACCTAAAGCTTTAGGCTGACTCACCTTAAGTTTCAACAACTGACGCACATTAAGCACACAAACCACGCACCTTAAAAAGGAAACCACGCATCATAAAAAGGACATAAAGACATTTGGATGCTTGTGTTATGCTGCCACTTTATCTTCCTCACGTCACAAGATGGCACCCCGAAGTAGAAAATGTATTTTCATCGGAGTACCAGCGGGAGTTAAAGGGTACATTCTATATTATCTCATGGAATGCTCAGTATTCATATCTCGTGATGTAATTTTTTATGAGGATATCTCCCCCATTGCCAGTGTTGTAGAATCCAGCTTGCAAGAAGTGGTTCCTTCTCTCCCTAACATTCCCACAATGAGGAATGAAGAACTTAGTTCATACATAACATGTGATGATCAATTTCAGGAACATGAGGAGCATATTGAGAGGTCCCCAAACTCTGAGAGCAGAATTATAGAACAGCCTTTGAGCCCTGTCACTGAGCATATTGATGATAATCACAGTATTAGTGAGAGCCTTCCAAGAAGCACTAGAGATGATGCTAACAGCACTGATACTCCCAGGTCCGACGCTCTAACAGACTACACCAGCCATCCAAGAGGTTAGAAGGATATCTTTGTGACAGTGTTATCAATAACAGAACCTCCCCCCATCTCTTATGAAATGTCATGACTTATAACAATCTTGAACATCACCAAAGAAGATTCTCCATTGTTATTGCCACAGTTATTGAGCCAAGAACATACAATCAGGCTATCAAAAACGATGGTTGGAAGCAAGCTATGAATGCAGAAATTTTGGCCCATCAAGAAAATAATACTTGGGAACTTGTTGATTGACCACCAGGGAAAGTACTCATTGGCTGCAAATGGGTCTATAAGGTGAAGTTTAAAGCGGATGGCACTATTGAAAGGTACAAAGCGAGGCTCGTTGCAAAAGGGTTCACCCAACAACTTGGTATTGACTACCTTGAAACTTTCTACCCAGTGGCTAGACTAACTACCATACGCATGTTCATCAGTGTGGCTGTGTCTAAGTCATGGCACATCCATTAAATGGATATCAACATCGCGTTTTTACATGGAGATCTCAACGAGGAAGTATACATGGTATTGCCACCCGGCTTTCAAAGTCAAAAGCCGAATCAAGTTTGCAAGCTATTATGGTCTTTATATGGATTGAAAAAAGCAAGCCGGCAGTGGAATGCCAAGCTTAGTGCAGCCCTCCTTCATGTCGGATACAAGCAATTAACCGCTGATCCATCCCTTTTTACAAAAGGCAGCAGTAATAATGACTTCATCGCCTTACTTGTTTACGTCGATGACATCATTGTTGCTAGTGCAAACATGAGTCTCATTCAACATCTCAAAGACTTTCTACATTCTTTGTTCAAAATCAAAGACTTAGGACCATTGGGCTATTTCTTGGGGATCGAAGCTCAAATGGAAAAGAATGGTCTAAGCTTGTGCCAACACAAATACGCTCTGGAAATCCTAGAAGAGACTGGATTCATTAACAGCAAACCAGCAGCAACACCTATGATCCAAGGTTTGAAGC